ACACTATCTCCATTATCCCTAACCATTTTCCATGCTTCTATATCCTCTAATCTTTCAGTTTCCATTATAGAGTGGGGACAGTCGGTATATATTAAGTGGAGACATACAATGTCTCTTTTATAGCCTGACTTGCTTCACTCAGCTGTAAATCTTCCATATTCTTTCATTTTCTATCAAATGCCAGGGACTTGTTTTTTATTGCTGAGGAGTAGTCCACAGCGTATGTGTGCCACACTTTTCTCAATCTATTTGTCTGTTTGTGAACATTTGGGGTAGAAACCCGAGAGTGGAATTGCTGGATCAAATGGTAGTTCTATTTGTAGATCTTTGAGGGTGTACTGCTTTTTCACTTACATTGTAAAATAATTTTCCCAATTGTTCTATAAAGATACTCTTTTATGGTTACAGAGTAATGTGTCCTAGTCATTTCTTTCTTTTTTGGACTATGCAGCTTATTCTAAGTGCCTGCAAGAGATGTTACCATTACTTTTGTTCAGGGCATATGTATACTTATAACTCTCAGTACCTACTTCCAGAAGAGTCAGCTGCTTTAATGTAGCCCTTTGTAAACCTTTGTGACTATGATCATGATTTGCAGATGAGGAAACTAAGAATTATGGGATTATTTGCCTACTGTCATCTAGTAGACGAGAATTTTCTGGGACTAGATCTTGTGGATGCTAGATTATTTTAGTCTGCTTGCTGCTTTTATAACAGTTCTACACACTGGGTAAATTATAAACAATAGAGGTTTATTTTACTTATGGTTCTGGAGGCTAGAAAGTCCCAAGAGCATACCAATGATATCTAGGAAGGATCATCCCTTGGCAGAATGGCAAGCATGTGAGATAATGGGGCTGGCCCCACTCCCTTGATAACAGCATTATTCTACCCATGAGGGCAGACATAATCACCTCTTAAAGTCCCCACCTCCCAATTCCTTTACATTGGTAATTAAATTTCAACATGAGTTTTGGAATGGGGGTTAAAGCCATGGTACGGGCTAAATACTGTTTTTTTTTTTTTTTTTTTTTTTGAGAGGTTTTTGCTATAGGACGCATGCGCTCGCCAGGAAGACAGAGTGAGACAGAGAGAAAGCGAGAAATCACCCCCCGGGGGGGGATGGCCACGCCACAATCCCTTCTCCTCCATTCTCCTCTCAGGATCTTGGGCATGCATGCACATGCGCCCGGTGTGAGTTTAAGCCACCGGGCCCGGGACTTGAACTGTGATTGATTACATAGGAGTCCAGCGACATAGCCATTACACTAAATACTGGTCCCAGGCCAAATATTCTTGTCTACCGAATCTTTCTGAGTGAACTCTGGCCCTTTGCTCTGGGTTTAATTTTCATAGATGGTTGAGTTTTGGCATGTTCTCTAGACACTCTTTTCAGTTCTCACCTACCTCAGGGATGACAGCTAGACACATAATCTTGGATGGAGACAGAATGGTGTTAGTACATTTGGACAGGTGGTATTCATAAGCTGTTTTGATGCCCTAGGGGCCTCTCCTGGTAATGGTTTTCTAACATACACCTCTGTCTAGATCACTGAGCATTTTTAATGCATGTGTCTATTTTTCAGACTGGCATTGCTCGCGTGCCACTTGCTGGAGCTGCTGGAGGTCCAGGCATCGGCAGGGCTGCTGGCAGGGGAATTCCAGCTGGTGTTCCTATGCCCCAGGCTCCTGCAGGACTTGCTGGCCCAGTCCGTGGGGTTGGTGGTCCATCCCAACAGGTGAGCAGTTGGGAGAAGGGGCACCAGCTTCTGGAGGGTGTACCAGCTTCAAGGGAGGGTCTACAGTTTGGGTGAAGTCCCAAATGACCAACCTATGATTGTCAGACTATCAGCGTTTCACTGCCTTAAATGTGGAAACAATCGAAAGGGAAAACTCACCATTGTAAATTATATTAATACTATTAAAAGAGAGTCACACAAAAGGTATTTTAGATTATTGTAGTTGAGCAAAATATTTCCATGACATCCGAGATACACTCTCTTAAAACCTGCCTTCGGTCATATTTAAAAATAGAGGTGCCTTCTCTAAGTCAAATTGGCATTCTTAAGTTCCAGCTTAGAAGATGGGAATTGGGCATTCAAGCTCCATCTTTCTTGATGTGTATTTAGATAGGAAGTCTGTAGCATTAGGCGATTTGATGCTTGCTGTTTCTTTACCATGTTGGTAAAGAGTGGGAAGCTGCATTGATTGAACTGTACTGTCTGCATAACTCTGCATAACTCTTCTTGTATCCTCTCAGGTGATGACTCCACAGGGGAGAGGCACTGTTGCAGCTGCTGCAGCTGCCGCCACAGCAAGTATAGCAGGGGCCCCAACTCAGTATCCACCCGGCCGTGGGGGTCCTCCCCCACCTATGGGCCGAGCGGCACCTCCTCCAGGTGAGGAAACCATAAGGATATTAGTGCTGATTGATACACGATGCCTTCCTTAGCTGGATTCATGATGAGACAATGTTGACTGAAACTGATGATGAGTTTGTATAATTAAGCAGGATTACTCTGAGATCCAGCCTGGCTGACTGACTGTAGAACTGGCCATGAGCCACTGGGAGCCCCAGTACTTTAGCTCAAGTGCCATTTTACCTGGAGAGAATGAGAGGATGGAATGGTCCACTGTCTCAGAAATTGGTGGCCAGCTTTGTGTGTTTCCTGCTGTCTTTTCAGGACAGACTTGTGAGCTATATTTTGGGGCTTTTCTCTTGCAGGCATGATGGGCCCGCCTCCTGGTATGAGGCCTCCCATGGGTCCCCCAATGGGGATCCCCCCTGGAAGAGGGACTCCAATGGGCATGCCCCCTCCGGGGATGCGGCCCCCTCCCCCGGGGATGCGAGGTAAGTGCCTTTAGGACATGGCTTTGGCTTCCTTTCCTAGAGCCTGGGGGAATGGAGGGAAGATGGGATTTAGACTTTATCTCCAGGGCTTTTAGGCCTTGAGCCTAGGGAAGTAAACTGGAGGATAACATCCTCTGAAAAAGAACAGGGAAGTGGGAATAAGCATTTTGTAAATTTACCTTATTACCCCTTTTAGAACAGGTAGAGCAGCCTTGCAGGGAGTATAGTTGTAAAATTGTGCATTTTGAGGCTTCCTCAACAAAGGTTATGAGATAGTCTTTAGCCCTTTAATTTGACAATGTCTAGTAATTAAGAGGGGTCTAGGCTTTTCTATGCTGTATTGTGTATTGCTATTTAACTCCAGTTTGAGAAATGCTGAGATCAGTCCATGTGTGGCTAAGAAGAGAGAACTCAGTCCTTATTTTTGGCCCAGTGTTACTTCCACCAAGCCCTAGTGGCTTATAAGATAAGCCATGGCCAAACGTGGTGATTCCTGTGTCTCTAGTTAGGGTTTTTCACTTATGGATTTTATAGGCATAGGAACCTGGATAGTCTCAGAGAAGTGCCCTGTTAGCACATATATCATGTGCATCCCTCTTATCACTTGATACTGCAGGGCGTGGGAGGCTGGGGGCAGGGCTGGGGATTTGAGTTGCAGATCAGGCACTGACTAAACTTCTTACTCTTACTTCAGGCCTTCTTTGACCCTTGGCCACAGAGTTATGGAAGTAGCTCCACAGAGGCGTGGGCCCGATTCCCCAGGGCCATGTTACCACAGACCTGTTTGTTTGTTATGCTGTTGTTCGTGGAGTCTCACCGGATTGTCTGGTTTCCCTTACAGGGCCCCCTCCCCCGGGAATGCGCCCACCAAGGCCCTAGACTCATCTTGGCCCTCCTCAGCTCCCTGCCTGTTTCCCGTAAGGCTGTACATAGTCCTTTTATTTCCTTGTGGCCTATGAAACTGGTTTATAATAAACTCTTAAAATACTCTAAGTGCACCTGATGTATATATTTATTTTTAGAAAAATATTTGGTATACCGAGTGCTTAATAGAGGTAAGAGTTTCCTTGGAGAAAAATAGCCCTAATCTTAGCTGATTCCATAAAACATCCAGATATACATTTGCACCTAATATATAAATTCATATACAAGAGAATTAGAAAATTGGATTACAGTGAGACATTTTCATATAACCAACTCTACAGCTTGTTGGCATAAACACTTATGGGAAGGTCATCCAAAAGTTTATAGAAAATGACTAGTATCTTTGTTTCTCCATGAACTTTTTGAAGCCCCTTTGTATACTGTTGTTGAGGGGTATGAATTTGCATACCATTTTTGGAAGGCACTCATCGAAATAGCTTCTTTAGCAGTACTTAGATTATCATATTCTTTGTAACCACAAAAGTATGAAACATTAAAAAGGAAAATTTAAACATATAATCTAATAGAATTTTTTGATTGTGGATCTCAATTTTTTTGACTGGTATTTAGTATGTTAAGCCTTAAGGGTACAGAAATTAGAGATGAACACTCCATTACTAAGTTATCACAAAGGCGGAAGATTATTCTAAATGTGAAGATGTTAATGAGTAAATTGAAAGACAAGTGGGGTATAATTAGAGTGTTAATGAGTTTCTCCAGGAGTAAAGGATAGTTCAGCTTAAAATCAATCAGTGGGATATACCACATTAGTAGAAGGAAAAAATCCAGCAACAATCCGAAAAGGAAACTAAGAATTTTATTTGGATAAGAAAAGAATAAAATATCTAGGAATCAAACTAAAGGATTCTTAAATGAGCTAAATGCTGGAGACCAAGGAATACTAAAATACTTATGTAACAGTCAAATCAAGGAGGCAAAATACTTGTATGCTGAAGACTACAAGAATTCTGAAAGAAACTTAAATAAATAGAGGAAGATATGTTCATGAATTGGAGAATTTAGTATTGCTGAGATAATAGTACTCCCCAAACAGAGTGCAATCCCTATGAAAATTCTAGCAGTCTTTTTTCAGAAATGGAGGAGCAGATCTTTAAGTTTATATGAAGCTGCAATGTATTCCCAATAACAATCTTAAAATAAGAACAATTGGAAATCCCATACGGCTGATTACAAAACATACTTCAATGACACTGTAATAAGAACCAGTACTGAGGGACCAGCAGATGGTACAGTGGTTACTTCACTGGACTCCCATGTAGTTGATTGTGGTTAGAGTATTGGACCCAGCAGCTTAAAGTCACATTAGACGTGTATGTGTATGTGTGCCAAAATCCTGAGAGGAGAATGGAGAAAGGATTGTGGTGTGGCCGTTCCCCCTGGGGGGTAAGTTCTCACTTTCTGTCTGTCTTGCCTGTGAATGAGCCCTTTAGCAAAAATCTCTCAAAAAGAAAAAAAAAAAAAAATGGTACTGAGATAAAGGTGTAGAGGCCAATGGGTAGACTTGAGAGTCCAGAAATCTTTACATATATGGCTAATTGATTTTAAGGAGGTTAGAACCATCATTAAAAGAGGTTTCTCCAACTAGTAATGCTAGCACAATTGGATATTACATCCAAAAGAATGAAGTTGGAGTCTGTATGTCATTAACTCAACATAGATTAATCTGAATTTAAGAAAGCTATAGAACTAATAAAACATAGGTGAATCATGACCTTGGATTTGGTGATGAATTCTTAGATCTGACACTGAAAGCATAAGCAACAAAAGGAAAAGTAGGTAAATAGGACGTCAAAATTTAAAACCTGTGCATTAAACAATGTGAGGAAGAATGAAAAGAGGACAGAAGGTCTGCAAATTACATACTTTACATGGGCATAATATCCAGACTATGGGGACCAGCAAACTATAATGGTTATGTTGCTGGGCTCTCACATGGCCAACTGCTGTTTGAGTCCCAGACCCAGAGGCTTGAAACTCAACACTGGGCATGTGTGCGTGCATGCCCAAGATCCCAGGAGGAGAATAGAAAAAGGATTGTGTGGCTATCCCTCCTGAGGAGGCGATCTCTCACTTTCTGTTTCTGTCTGGCAAGCACAGACGCCCTATAGCCCAAAAAATCGCTCCATTAAAAATAAAAATCCTGGGACCAGCAGTTAGGTTAATGGCTATGTTGCTTGACTCCCATGTAGTTGACAGCGGTTCGTGTCCTGGACCCGGTGGCTTAGAACTCACGCTGGGCGCGTGTGCGTACGTGCCCAAGATCTGAAGATGAGAAGGGATTGTGGCATGGCCATCCCCCCTGGGGGTTGATTTCTTGCTTTCTGTCTCTCTGTCTCTGGCAAGTGCAAGTGCCCTATAGCAAAAACCTCTCCCCCCAAAAAAAGCTTAAAAAAAAAAAATCCAGACTAGGTTGAAAACTTAAAATTTAACAATAAAAAGATAAGCCAATTAACGAGGCTTGAGTAGGCATTTCTCCAGGGAGAATAATTGAATGGCCAAGAGACACATGACAAATTTTGTTTTTGTTTTTTGTGTTTTTTTGGAGAGGTTTTTGCTGTAGGGCATGTGTGTTCACCAGAGACAGAGAGACAGAAAGCAAGAAATCACCCCCCCAAGGGGGATGGTCACACCACAATCCCTTCTCCTCCATTCTCCTCTTGGGATCTTGGGCACGCACGCACACGCGCCCGGTGTGAGTTTTAAGCCACCGGGTCCGGGACACGAACTGTGGTCGACCATGTGGGAGTCCAGCGACACAGCCATTACGCCAACTGCTGGTTCCCCCCGGTGTGAGTTTTAAGTCACCAGGTCCAGGACGCAAACCGTGGTCGACTACATGGGAATCCAGCGACATAACCATTAAGCTAACTGCTGGTCCCCAACAAATTTTCAACACTGTTAACTTTACAGGAAATGCAAATCAGAAACACAATGAGATACCTAACTTCACATTCACTAGGCTGGCTTTAATGATACACAGGAACTCCTACGCATTGTAAAAGGGTAAAATGGTGCAATTGCTGTGTAGATCAGTTTGGCCATTCCTGAAAGCTAAGCATTACCATAAGACCCAGCAATTGTACTCCTAGGTATATATCTGTAGTTAATAGGTATCAACAAAATTTCCTGAAAAGAAAATTGGACAGGGCAGACTTTGTTTTGGTAAGTTTACAAATGAGGAAGATGAACCTTTAGCATAAAAGGCATAGAATTTGCCACAAAGACGGGTGTTGATTGTTTCTTTTATAGAGGTCCCGACCAAGTTCTACTCTGGTCCTTTAGGCAAATGAAGGATTCACACTCAGTTCAGTCCTGATTGGTTGTTACAAGTTTCAGGCTCATTGGTTCAGAAACAAAAATCCAAAGGTTTGGCTTGTGTTTCTTTTTTTCCAGGGACACAGTACATAAGTAACTCCAGTTAGCAGATTACTGCTAGACAACCTTCTGAATTTAGACTCAGCCACTTAGAACCATTCTTGAAGGATTCTGCAGATTTAGGATTCACATATAAACTACATGAAGTTTTTGTTCTTGGTTTCTTTTATTTTTCATAACAAGTTCATTTGATAACACCTGAGTTCATGTTAATGTGGTGACTTAAGGTAGGGCCCCTAGATAGCCTCTGTGGGGGAGCAGTTACCAGAAAGACCAACTAATTAGAGGGGTAGAATTTTTTTTTTTTTTTTTGAGAGTTTTTTGCTGTAAGGTGTGCTCACCAGAAAGACAGAGACAGAGAAACAAAAAGAGAGAAATCACCCCTCAGGGGGGATGGTCACTCTGCTATCCCTTCTCCATTCTCTCAGGATCTTGGGCATGCATGCGCATGGTGTGAGTTTAAGCCACCGGGTCTGGGACTCGAATCGTGGTTGACTACATGAGAGTCCAGCGACATAACCATTACACCAACTGCTGGTCCCAAGAGGGGTAGAATTTTTTTTTTTCTTTTTTTTTTGAGAGGCTTTTGCTATAGGGCATGTGCGCTCACCAGACAGAGACAGAAAGCAAGAAATCATCCCCCCGGGGGGGGGGGGCGGGG